TATATATATATATATATAAAAATTTAATAAACCTTTAGCATGTTTTAAGAAAGGCTAGCATTTTAAAAATAACTAAAGATCTTGCCAAATGAATTTGCTCATCTACCTTTACTCATAAGAACTTTGGGGACTTCCAATTCTTGAATCTTGCGGTTAAAATGATGTCGACCACCTCTGCAAATGAAACAGCTCAATCTCTCCAGGTGAGGCTTTCCATACGTTTTAAACTGGATGGGGACTTTGAGGAATATTTACAATTCTTCCAATGCCTCTGTAAAGTCCAACAGGGCCTGGTTCACAGTCTCCAGTGTAACTGATCAAAATGGATTCTGACACAGGTCGTCACATTCTCCCACACTCACTAATACACTCTGTAGACCTTGCCATCTGCACTGGTGAAACAGGAAGGGACCAAGTCAGACCTGTCCTGACAAGGTTAAGCAAAAAATGGTTCAGAAGGCCTTGGTATGCTGAAGTTTCTCTGGATTGCAGCTGTTTGCATGCTTTGAAGTTCTGCATTCAACACTTTAAGGTACAGTTGATGAGGGGAGGCTTGAATGCAGTTGTTTGGCCATAAAAACCTATACCATAAAGCTCTTCAATCACTTTCCGTGTCCTACTTTGAAGGTAACACGAGGTTTGAAAGTTTGACAGCCAGTGTCAAATTTTTATTTCCTTTTTCTGGAAAACTTTAACAGGAATGCTTATATTTAGAATTAATTTCATTCAAGAAATAAGACACAGATTAAGGGCCAATCAGATAATTCCCAGAGTGCTGCCTGGTGCAAAACAACAGAAAGGTATTTTCCGAGTTTGTAGAAATCAGAACAATCCTGCTCCTCTACACATATGGACAATATTCTTATCCAAAAGTATTAAATTTAGTCTTTGTAAAGATGACATGAACTAAAACAGAGATTTTGAAAAATTGTGTTTCATTTGAATCACGTTAAACTAATACCGGGCCCATCTGACACCTGCTCATGTTGACCCAGTTCTAGAAATGGCCAAAACTCAGTCAGATGCTGTTTCATCCACATGCCTTTCAAAATGGGGTCTTTAAAATTTCTAAAACATGCTTCAAAATTAATTTTTCACAAATACTTTTTGTTTTATAGCTGTGTAAACAAATAAAATGAGATTTTAAATTCCACCTGAATCTGCAGGAGTAATGCAACAGCAGGTAATTATTTTTAGCCACGCCCCCTAATGGCCGGCATCATTGGAAACTAGAGGCTCAGACCTTTCCAAGGAGGGGTTGGAGGTAATTGTCACCATTTTAGGTGATTTAACCAGCATGTGTTACATAAGCTTGCTCTGTTATTCTTATTTTCTATTCAGTTTGGGGATATTATTGGGTGTTCAATGGTAAATTTCAATGAAACAACGGCTAAATCTAAGGAGCAGAGACTTTGTCTTATATAAAAGGTCTCCAATAATGTAAATCAGCACATTTGTCTGGCCAGATGCTCTTTTATGAGTTAGGCATAATTTTAGCCACTTGCTTAAACTAATTCAGTCCAAATTTGCTTGACTTATAGTCAGGAAGTTGATCTTTAAAGTCTGAGGCCTCATCCAAAGTTCTAAATGGGTTTTCATGGTGTTTTTCAGTGTTTATTTTTTAAATTAATTGGCGAGGCTATATATTTTTTATTTGTTTAATCACCTATAAATCAGACATGGTGACATTTACAATATTGGTTCCATCTGAAAAATGTTCCTCAATATCTTTCTGTCACACAAGCATACAAGCATTGTATTTCTAATTTATAGTTTTGGAGCTTTACTTCCTTTAATTCACATATGTAATTTCAGGCTGAATTTGCTCCTAATACGCTCTGGGCTTAACATATTTCTTTTCTTTCTCTAAAGAACATCACGTTTGGGAAGAGATGTACAAGGGCTGTATCCTGGTCAGCTGGCTAGAGTCCACAACACACTCTCTAAGGATTATGGGTAAGACAAAATGTTTTTCTTTTTGTCTCATCTTTATTGTCACAAATCGTTTCTCAACCTCTTTCATTTTACAGTTGGTCAAGGGGACAAATAAGGAACAACACGGGTTATGATGGACATGCATATTCTTGTTTATAATGTGTTTTTAAAATACCAATAAAAAAGTAAAAGGGAACTTTTAAAGTATTAGAATAAAGGGACTTAGTGCAAATATAACATCTTCCAGATGGTGGCAGTATAAGAGAGGATTTAAAGTTAATCTCACTCCGGTCAGCCACAACACACTTCATTACAAATTGCAATAAAACATGTTAACTAAACAGGTGCATTGAAAGGATTTTTTTTTTACATTTAAAAAGAAGCTAAATTATAACAGGTTGTTTTAATAACTGATAATAAACCGATTTTTTGCATTGCACAGCTGCAGTAAACACTATTTTCAGCCCTGATTTAAAAGCCCAGAGGTTGGCTCCAGTTTTTAGTGGGGGAACATTGAAACTATATGCCATGTCTTGTTGTTTAATTCTGCCTCTGTGAAAGTTCATTTAGGCCCATAATGACGTGTGAGGCTTTGACAGATCCTTCCAGATGAGTAGCTAAGAAATGTAATTGGACTCTTTTTATTTTTTGCATGCGGAAACAAACTACATTTGTTATGTTCCATTTTCATGACGCAAAACTGCAANCTGAAAAATGTTCCTCAATATCTTTCTGTCACACAAGCATACAAGCATTGTATTTCTAATTTATAGTTTTGGAGCTTTACTTCCTTTAATTCACATATGTAATTTCAGGCTGAATTTGCTCCTAATACGCTCTGGGCTTAACATATTTCTTTTCTTTCTCTAAAGAACATCACGTTTGGGAAGAGATGTACAAGGGCTGTATCCTGGTCAGCTGGCTAGAGTCCACAACACACTCTCTAAGGATTATGGGTAAGACAAAATGTTTTTCTTTTTGTCTCATCTTTATTGTCACAAATCGTTTCTCAACCTCTTTCATTTTACAGTTGGTCAAGGGGACAAATAAGGAACAACACGGGTTATGATGGACATGCATATTCTTGTTTATAATGTGTTTTTAAAATACCAATAAAAAAGTAAAAGGGAACTTTTAAAGTATTAGAATAAAGGGACTTAGTGCAAATATAACATCTTCCAGATGGTGGCAGTATAAGAGAGGATTTAAAGTTAATCTCACTCCGGTCAGCCACAACACACTTAATTACAAATTGCAATATAACATGTTAACTAAACAGGTGCATAGAAAGGATTTTTTTTTACATTTAAAAAGAAGCTAAATTCTAACAGGTTGTTTTAATAACTGATAATAAACCGATTTTTTGCATTGCACAGCTGCAGTAAACACTATTTTCAGCCCTGATTTAAAAGCCCAGAGGTTGGCTCCAGTTTTTAGTGGGGGAACATTGAAACTATATGCCATGTCTTGTTGTTTAATTCTGCCTCTGTGAAAGTTCATTTAGGCCCATAATGACGTGTGAGGCTTTGACAGATCCTTCCAGATGAGTAGCTAAGAAATGTAATTGGACTCTTTTTATTTTTTGCATGCGGAAACAAACTACATTTGTTATGTTCCATTTTCATGACGCAAAACTGCAAGAAGGAAGCAAAAGGCCGGACTTGGGTTAATCTAATTGTAGCCCCTTGCTGCTGTTCCTTCAGCTTTCATGGGGTCAACACTAGGAAAGAAACTCCTCAGAAACTCCTGTGCTGATCTCACACAGCTTTTAGTCATGTTGTTACATAAAAAAAATCCAGAACTAACATGTTTTTGTTTGTTATTTTTTTTCATCCTAATGGCAGGCGTCAAACTTGGCCTCAGCTGTTCTTCCAGTTGCTTCTTTTTCTGCTGCTGTCTTTCCAGGCCCCTCATAAAAAATAGATTTACCTTTTTAAATCAATTTGATGGCTCTTTATTGAACATTTGTCATTTCAAATTTTACAAGTGCAGCGTACAGATTTTTATTAAAAAAAGATTGTTCCTACAATTTACATTGCTAATAAAACAAAGTAAACCCTAAAATACCAGTCCCTGATCTTGAAATAGATCAAACTAGTTATCTGTAATTACTAATCCTTAAAAGATATTTTAAAGACTTGTTTGCAACATGAAGGAAGCAGGCTGTAGGTTTTAGATCATGTGTACTTTCTGTCACAGATACATTAGGCCTACGAAAATGTAGATGGGGGAAAAAAAAACAGGTGAAGGTATAATGAAGTTAAGTTTCCAGAGGTAAAGCAACATGCTGCTTCTCTTGTGCTCTTAATTTTCGTACCGACATAAGCAAATAGCTCACAGAACTTGTTTTCAGAAGAGTTAAATAAGGTCAAATGGGCAGGGTTTTTTTGCCATTAGCAGTGAAGAGTGTACAATAGTGGGAATATTACTGCCTCGCCCTTTCTTTTTGTATTAGGAGGGGTGAGGCCTGTTAATGGCACAATAAAACAGACAGACAACCGCTTTGTGCTTTTTAATGTGGCTTCTTCCTTTTATGTCCAGCACCTACAGCCATCCTGTTTAGGGGATTGTCTCGCTGATCAAAGCACATCACAGCGACTGCATTCCAAATAATCATATTATTTGACAGACTGATGGAACATCGGCTGCCGTTTCAAACACGGGTAGAAAAAAAAGGGAATATGGTTTCTCCAGAGCAGTTCAGTGTTCAGACTACTGGAAGTGATCAGTTATAAAATATGTCTTCATTTAATGGGTTTTAATGCTGCAAACATGCTTCAAAAGTTCCAAATTATCTGGAAAATCAAAAAAAAAACAAAAACAGTATTATTACATGACAGTCTTTGACATTTATTTTTATTGTATGTTAATATCACACCTTGATCTGACTAAAAAAAACCCCACTAACAATGTATTTCATCCCCCAGTGAAAGCTCCTCCTCTCTTCGTCAGCTTGTTGATTCTCCAAACTATCAGCCAAGTTTTGATCTCCAAATTCTGAGAACACTGAGTCATCACAGACACAACAAAAAATCATTGGAACAGTGTGACCTTCAAACCACTTATCAAGAGCACTTTGGATTGCTGTCTCTTTGCTTTCCTCAATCATAGATTTCTTGTTTTGATTTTCAAAGAGATCACAACATGTCCCAAATCGGATGCAGCTGGTTGTTATGACCAATAGAGGAAACAGTCATATTTATTAATGTAAAACCTCAGATGGAAAAGTTTGGAGGATGGCAACTGTCATGGTTTTGGTTCTGTTCAAGTTTTATCTCGGCGTTTTCATTTGTCTTATTTCCATTTTTGTGTTCTAGTTATTTTTGATTGTATTTGAGTTCCTAGATATTTCTTGTTTGCCCTCTTATGTCAGTCTCCTTTTCCCTAGCTCCCTTGTTTGCACACCTGTTCACTCCCAATCTGCTAATTAGCCTGGTCTTTGTTTCTCTCTCCCATATATTCGCCTCTTGTTCAGTCACTCTTTGCTGGTTTTGTCACCATGTCTTTGCCTCCTTGTTGTGAGTATTCCTGGTTTGCAGTAGTTTTGGATTTTTAGGTTGATTTATGTTTTGGGATTTTTGCTTCTGTTAACCTCTTTGTCATTAAACCTTGAAGAAACCACTTCTGCTTCAGTGTCTGCATTTGGGTCCTGTCAAACCTCCACCCCACCATGACAGCTAGGGATG